CCAAAGTTGCCTCTCTCCTTGCAATGAAGTTTAACAAATTTCTTTAAAGGATGATATTAATCGTAGAGGGGTAATTTCTCGATTTTTCAGAAACTTAGGTCCAAACTTGCATAAAGAAACTGAGGATCTTCCTTTTCTTATTATTCTTTGAGCTTTTCTCGGAAAACTTCTTATTTAAGCTCCAGAAACTTTTTGGATAAATTTTACATTCTAATTCTTACGGAATAAAAAACAGTCAATTCAAAATTTCTAACCGAGGGGCTTGAATGGCAAAACTCTGTCTTCGTATTTGCTCTTTCTTCGTAGTCTAAAGAGACCAAGACCAAAAGTAGCCTTTGAAATTTTCTATAAAGGAAGATTTTTGAAGAAAACCGAGAAGGCTTACCCAAAAAGTTTCCTTGAATTACTCTCGATTCTTTGCCTAATTTTAAAAACGGCGAAAGTAGTGATGTAAGTTAATAACCTAACGAGCCTATGAATCATGCATCATAATTCTTATTAGATCCTTCATACTTAACATAGCTTACCCAACATGGTGTAGGGAGGTTTATGCATAAAAAATTATCAACATCATATTATTCTATAACATGGAATAATCACATTATAGGACAACTTATAAATATGGCATAACACAACATAGCATGACATTGTACAACATAGCATAGCACAACAATTATAATTATGACGTGTGTAGGGGGTAGGGGGCACGAGGCACATGTAATCGTACATCATACAATTAGCTCAACCAACTCAAAAGTCAAGCCACTTAACTATGTAGCTTAAGCCGAACTTGCCAATTAAACCATGGAGCTAGTCCAAATCCATCCTTTGAAATTCAAGTTGACCTATGAGAATTCACAGACACCGAATTAGAACACATTGACTGGTTTAATTTACCTAATGCCCACAATTAAACCTATAATTTATCTTATAATTCTCTAAATTGGCGGAAAAGTGGCTATACTCATCTCAGCTTCTTATAGAAATTCTAAAATCGGCTACTGAAACAGGAAAAAATAGAGCAACCCCAGCCATTTAAACCATTTGAAGTCGCAGATCCGAATTAAGCAGTCATTGAGGAGGAGCGCGGGTCACAACATCAGATCGAGTCAAGCATGCAGGTTCAAACACGGTTCAGGGGCCACTATGCATCCAAACTCACATCGAAATGAAATATGAACTCAAGGGATACGATTTTAGATCTTAAAAAACATGAAACAATAGTTACTTGCTCTTTTTCTTTTTTTTCTTTTTTTTTTTTCATTTTAAAAGCTCCATCAATAAAATAGTTTAATAATGTTTTTCATCGTTAAATATCTTCTATACATATTCTATTTATTTAAAACATGAGGGAACATATATAAATGTATTTAAAGCCCCCACAATTACAAACTATATTAAAAAAAATAAAAATAAAATAAAAAATTACTTTAAAAAATATTATTTAAAGCCATCTCAATATATATATATATATATATCATTATTATTATTATTTAAAAAATCGATCAACTTTTAAACTCTTACAAATAATTCAACTCGGAAAAACAATTATTTATGCATTTATTATATATAAATAAAAAATTAGAGAGATTTATTTCTAGCCATTTCCTTCGACTTTGTAATCAATGATTAAAACTACCTCATTTAATGATTCTTTCAAGTGGGTTTGGTGTAATATATTCTTCATAAATGGAAAGGGTGAGAGGGTTTTTTTCGGAGTTGAATTTTTTGGGATGTAAACTCTTTTTAACCCGAACAACTTATGTTAAAAACTGTAAGGACCCAATAGGAGATATTTCTCTTGCGGGCTTCTCCTCAAGGCTGTAAAACGTGTCTGCTAGGAGAAGGTTTCCACACCCTTATAAAGGGTGTTTTGTTCTCCTCCCCAACCAATGTGGGACATCACAATCCACCCCCTTTGAGGTCCAGCTTCCTCACCAACACACTGCCTCGTGTCTATCTCCCTTCAGGGAACAACCTCCTTGCTGGCACATCGCTCGGTGTCTGGCTCTGATACCATTTAGTAACAACCCAAGCTCACCGCTAGTAGATATTGTCCTCTTTGGGATTTCTTTTACGAGTTTCTTCTCAAGACTTTAAAACGCGTCTACTAGGGGAAGGTTTCCACACCTGTGTTTTGTTCTCTTCACCAACCAATGTGGGACATCGCAAAAACTGAATTTGACCCAACCCAACCATATAGTTTTGGGTTAGATTGATTTAAGTTGAAATTTTTTTTTAGTAAAATATTTATGTAGCTATAAAGCATAAAAACTTAAATTTTCATGAAGGAGACCATGTATTTCTAAAGATAGCACACATCAAAGAGATGTTCAAATTTTGGTAAGAAAGGGAAGCTAAGCCACAAGTTCATCTATCCTTTTGAGATAATGGAAAGAATAGGACTAATAGCCTATAGACTCGCACTCCAACAAAACTTATCTATCGTATAAAATGTATTTCATGTGTCTATGTTAAGAAAGTATATGCCAGCTCACTCACGTGATAGCACATGATACACTTCCGTCGAGAGAGGACTTAGAATATAAAGAAGAATCGGTACAAATATTGGACATGAAAATCAAGGAAAGTCAAAAGGCTGAGAAAAAAGAAAATCGCTATGGTGAAAGTTGTATGGAAGAATCATAGAGGTGATGACATTCCATAAGGAAAAAATGACTAATAACAGATAATGATTTTGTAGAATTTTTGTATTATTCAAAAAAAAAAAAATATTAAAATGTTCATAAAGTAGTAAATTACCTAATTTAAAAGAATTACTAAATTGTCATTGCTCACCAAATTAGATCCTCCATAGTACTCTTATGTACATAATCTACAAATCTAGTGGTTGGGTCTCCCTCTAAATTGAATATGATCTAGAACGTTCACCAATCATCACATCCAACGACTAAAATTCAAAACTAAATTCGACAAAGCTCTGATCGGCACATGATTTCTTAACGAAAAGTTCAAAAGGATCAACTGCGAGATCATGGCGGTTCTAGATGTTTCAAAGACAGTGGATCCATTCTCTTAAGTTATGAGCAATGTCCGTTCATTTGGAGAAAGAAGCAAGCAATAAAGGGCATTCAATCACAAGTTACAAGCTTTTCATTTTTTGGGTTTTGGGTTTTGAGTTCTCAGGTTCCTTCCGAGCTAAAGTCCATCATTTTTCTCCAAATTTATTTCTATACCTTTCAAATAAGATTAACCTCAATTTTGGCGTAAGAAAGGGGCAAAAATGCCCCAAACCTATTTCCCAAATTTGGTCCTCCATTGAAGGAATCCAAAGGAGCTTAAAATTTTAATTTGATGTTACAAGTGAATTCATCGTGTGAGACCTATCCCAATCGATTTATGCACGTCTAAGAAACATTTTCATCGAAAAACTTGAAGGGTAATAACTCCAAGAGTGTGCCGAATTATAGAAATTCAATATCAGGCAAGTTTTGGGAGTAAAACTCAAACTCTTGTTTCTAGCCCATTTTATTTAAAATTGAGGTTTCCGTTAGACTTAGGGAACTAAATGAAGTGATTGAGGGATAATTCGTTTGAGATCAAGCAGCCCTGAGAGGATCAAACTCTACGTTTTGGGTTCGGTTGCAAACCGAAAGTTGGAATACAATATTGGCCATGCTTACATAAAGTTGTATTCCCAAATTAATTCATTTAGTTTGAGAGGAGTGTAAGGAAGAATTCAACATACAACAATAATCCTACCCAATATCAAGTCCCTCTAGGTATGGAAGCTGATAACTTAGAATACAGTCCACGAAAAGGTGAGATATTAGTCTGTAACTCTTTACTGAGACTCTATCTTTAAGTTTCAGGAAAAAATTGAGGGAAAAATATAAGGACCTTAGATTTCTACTAACCTAAAGTCGGTACCACCATATACATAATGTAACTTCTTATGCGAAAATAATCAATTAAATCATCTCCATAAAAGAACATTATGGACTTACATGTTTAAGAAAATATCTTTAAAAAAATACAAAATAAATATTAAATAAATCAATGTAAATATTAAATATAACCACGTCCTATACTAACCTAAAGGCTAAGAAATTTAAATACATTTATCCTATGCATGTGTCATGGTCTCGTCGTCAACCATGCAAGAGTGTCTTGCATTTACCTGTAATATAGAACTAGCACATGACTTGAATATTTTAAAAAATACTCAGTGACCCCACTATTGGAGTTAGGAAAACGAGAAGACAGTATTCCCTTAGATGACTATCCTAAGCGGGTTGTTAAATGTGTATTTACTATTTTACACATGACCTATATGTGCAAATATGTACCCACCAGTCGGTTTGCACACCTTCTGGGCCTCCTTCTAGTCGAGCTAGCGTTCTATGGTACTTTTGCCGGACACCCAAAAGGAGTAGGGACCATTGCAATATCATGTTGAACATAATGATCATTTTCCTTTTCATAACATACGTTTTTGTACTCATCATTAGGGGTAATATCTCGATGCATGTGACATACAATAATGCATGAGGTCCCTAACATTTTTCACATCAATTAAACAACCCCTTCCTATTTTCCTTCCTATCATATCATTTTATATCATATCACTAAACATATCTCCTTCGTATCATATCATAACTTTCAAAAACATGTCTCGGGGACGTTTCTGTACTCATCATTAGGGGTAATACCTCGATGCATGTGACATACAATAATGCATGAGGTCCCTTAACATTTTTCACATCAATTAAACAACCCTTTCCTATCATAACATTTCATATCATAACTTTTCATATCATAACTTTCAAAAACATGTCTTAGGGGTTGTGCATCATATCAAAGCATTTTATTGCATATCATTTATGTCATATCACACATACACATGTACTTAATTTAAAGAAGAGGAAGATGGAAACACTTTTTTTTTTAATTGATAATTAATTAACTAAGCTATGTTTTGATCCTAGGACTTGTGGGTTATGGACCCCATGCTTCCGCTGCACCACTCTAATTTATAAAAAATTGTCGACCATTTCTCAATTTGTGTATGTCATCCTTCCACAGTGGCCATGTTAATCTTATTGTTCCAACTTTTACCTGTTTTGATCTTTATTCGATTTTTTTCCCCAATTTCGATGTTGACCTTATTATGATTTCAATGAGGTTATACTAGAGAAATTTTAGAAAAATTGAAGTTCCTAACACACGGAAAAGCTAGCTTGGCGAGGGATGCGTCATCCATATAAATAGTCATTCTAAATTTTCTCAAGTAATGCTTGCACAAGGACATAGTTGCATGCAAGCATATCTTACCTTAGGTGGTAGAATATGTATGTTTAGGACTCTAGAAAGACTATTTGGATGAAAATGTTATATATGTTAAGGAAAATTAACGAAATACCCCTAGGATGAGAATTTATGATGCATACCGAATTTTATGCTTTTCGCTATGCTGGAATGAAGGATAAGATATTATGATATGTGGTCTGGGTGACTAATGGGTGTTATTTCCCCGTTCACTTTGTTTGAATGTTTAGATTATGATTTCCTAATAAGCATTCATGAATGAGTAGATTATGTTTTTCATGCTTGAGTTGATTGATAGAAATATCTCCCTAACAAATTATGCATGAGTGAACCAAGCTAAGATTAGGGCACTAGAGCTAGAGCGGTTTACATGTTTGTTAGGATTGCACAACAACGCACACTCTCGATCTAGATGAACACAAAGAACAGGATAGAGAAAATTTCAAGGAGAACTCTGGCTAAAAGGATTTGTATTGATGACTACAAGTATGTACAATAAGAGAGAATACAGAGAATATAGAAACTACATTTTCGAATCTCTACCGAACGGGATATAGTTCAGTTTACCAAATATAGTTTTACCAGATATAACCGTTGACCAAGCTATAAATAAGCAGCATGCTCCATAAACTAACAATTCTCCCACTTGGAGACTGATCTAGTCAACCAAGAATTTCATTCTCAAATGACCATGAGTATCTTCATGGCACCATATCAATTGAGGCTTTGCACAACCTCAATATTCCAACATCAACACATTTTGTCAATATATTTGTTGGATTCTTTGCACCCTCCATCTTCTCCAGACACATCACCATCTTTCACTAACCTGCAAGTGAAATGGTATCGTCTTCTGTGTTTTCTCTTTAAATGATAGACCGGGTTCCTTCGCCAACTGTATAACACTCTGACTATCTCTATAAAGAATATCTTCATGCTACTTCTTGCCCATTCTTCTAGATAGTCAGTCATCCATATCGTCTTCTTTCCAGCTTCAGCTATTGCCACGTACTCAGCCTCAGTACAACGCATTTTTGAAGCCTAGACGTCCCATCATCCATGGCTTGCTCCTACTTGGTTGTATCCTCCAACTGTAGGGCCTTGTCAAAGGGCTCTGGTTCCCTTTCATCAGCAACAGATAGTGTAATGAAGGTACATACATATCTGGTACTCTGATAGTATAGGATGATCTTCTCAACACCGATTCAGGTGTCACTTGCTTTACTGCTGGTTTCTCTACAACAACATCAGGAGTTTGTTGAGTATCTACTACAAGATCACTAGGTGATTTTCTCCGCAACTCAACCTCAACTCCCACTTGCTTTGTTGTCTTGGAACCTTGCTCCACATCTGGTTCCTCAGAAGTAGTCTTAGGAGTTTCTTGAGTATCTGCTAGAAGATCACTAGGTGAGTTTTTCTGCAACTCAAGCTCAACTCCCACTTGCTTCGTGGTCTTGGAACCTTGCTCCACATCTGGTTCCTCAACAGTAGTCTCAGGAGTTTCATGAGTATCTGTTACAGCATTACTAAGTGAGTTTTCCTCCAACTCAAGCTCAACTCCCACTTGCTTCGTTGAACCTTGCTCCACATATGGTTCCATTTTCAACCGCACTTTCTTCAATTCTCTGGCGGTCCTTGTGAAGCTAACTCATTTCTGCTTGCTCATAATGTAGTTCTCACAACGACCCACATCAACAGATTTCAAACATCAACAACACACACATGGTGCATGCAAGGGCCACAAGGCACGCACCAACATACATACATAACTAACGCCAACAGTAAGGTTACTTACTTCCTTGGCCTTGGCCGAAGTCACTCACAATGCGAACTCCGGTGCCTAACTACCTCTTCAGATGGTTGAGACAAGGGTGGGAATGGTTCCAAAAGGGTTGAAAACCTAGGAATCGGTATATTATACGTATGTCGCGTCGCCAAGCCGTGCCACCAAGCCGCGAGTGCAACGAAGCTGCCGACAACGTCGAAACCGATGGGCTGCAAAGGACACTGACGGCATAGGGTTCCTGGATGTGTCTTTGGGTTGGGCCGAAAGGGAACGAGGCCCAATGGTGGTGTCCGAGCTTGGCCCACGAGGTGCGGCCTATGCGCTGACCTAGATGAACTCGATGAGTGTCGAAGGGTCAACCTGCAGCCGCCGCTTTGTCTGCCTCGCCCGAAAGCCTCAACAACCCTAATCAAAGAACTCGATTAATGTTGCCGATGGAATGGTCGTCGTCCGTCCGTCTGTCTCTAGTGGCGTGTCTGTCCCTCCTTGCTCGACGTACCCTAGCGGCGGTTTGCCCCTATCAAAGGACTCACAAAAGTCTGAACTCTTGAGTCGTTTTCGATTCCTCACCTAAACCTTTCGTCTCCTTCCTCACAAGTACGACAGTGGCTCAAAAAGAAAAGACAGCTACTAAGGTGGCTAGGGTTTAACATGGGGACTCAAGGAATTAATACGCCCTTGTTGGCAAGGCATGCCTCATCGGAAATCTCGCGATTTTCGGCGAGATTTAAGGCTTTTTTTTATTTTTTATTTTTTTGCCTTTTTGAAACCCTTATCGTTACATCACCTCCTCCTAAGGAGGACTTTCGTCCTCGAAAGTATCTGTATTCGAGAATGGCTCTAAGTGCTATTCCCTCATCTCATCCCCGTTCCCATGTGTCTTCCTCCGTTGGTCGAACAAGTTCTCGGTGCGCGGATGGGGATACTTCTCCTTAACCATCCTCTTATTCCGCTCCCTGTAGTCGATCTGCCGACACATTCAAACCATCCCCTTTCTTGTAAGAGCCTATGCTAGCATGATTGTCTTTTTTTTTTTTTTTTTTTTTTTTTTTTTTTTTTTTTTTTTTTT